AGAGAGAGAGAGAGAGAGAGAGAGAGAGAGAGAGAGAGAGAGAGAGAGAGAGAGAGAGAGAGAGAGAGAGAGGGAGGGTAGGATGTAGCAAAGGACATTGTCAAGTGGGCATCATTGTAAGCCGGTTCGACGCAAGTATAAAACGGGGACATCTATACGGGTGAGATACGTCAGCAACATAGGAATCACGAAGGAGGTAAGTCAACGACTTCTTGCTTGTGGAAGAACAAATTTCAACATCGACTACATTTTGTAATCATCACTATTGGACTATTCCGAAGGTGGATGGAATAACCAGAAAGATTTATATTCTATTACGGGGACAGGAGTCCGAGACTGATTACGGGGGATAGCTTGAAAACAGAGGGTGATGTGGTATAAAAGGAAGGCGTGATGTGGCAAGGGAAAGGGAAGTGAAAGGACTTACGCAAGGTTAAGTGGGATAGAGTAAAGAAAAAAAAAAAAGAAAAAAAAAAGAGGGTGTCAGGGTAGGGAGGGGGAGGAGGGAATCGGACCAGAGAGCAAGAAAAGAGGGAAACATGTCGTTCACATATGTCATGGCAGCCCAAAGGGCTATGACAGATAAAGATAGAAGGGAGAGTGAACACTTGAGGATGCAGGGAATGGGGGTCAATCAGGGGGGAGTGTCATCAGCATCCCAGGGCGCGACAGCAACAGGAGTTAGAACCACTCAATCAAGAGCTATGGGCCAAAGGGCATTGGATTTCCTTATGGAAAAAACGAAAATCACGGCACCAGTCAGAATTACGAAGGAAGTAGTAAAAGGGCAGGAGGGCAAGGAAGAAGAGGTGGATGTGTGGGAATACCCGGAACAGGATTTACAGACATTGCATGACCTCTACGCACGCCATGCCGTGTTATTTAATTTCTCGGATAAAAATCGGGAACTGTCTCTCAATGAAAAGAGAAAATGGGTGATGGAGAGGCTTAGGGGGCTAGAGCATATCCCGGGTATGGAACCAGAGGTGTCCTATGCATACTTGCAAGCGGCCCCCGTCTGGGCGGTTCCGCACGTGTGGCAGACCACCGGACCGGACCCACACGGCGCACGAATGTGCGCCCGACGACCAGTTACGCCCCACCCAAAAAAAAAAAAAAAAAAACGGCATTGTCCGGTCCGGGGGAAGGGTGCCGCACGCGGCAAAGCGGACCAGACCGGACGCTCGTCCGGTCCGTCTGCTTGCAAGTATGGTCCTATCACAAGAGGGGCAGATACACAGTAATGATTGTCTGTGTTGATCCGGCGTGTGCACAGTTTCTGATATCATTGGGTTAGCTTAGATGTCATGGTTCTGTCGTCACAATTCAGGCATGGAAACCGCCTCAGCCACCAGAGGCAGAAGCATCAAGACACAGACAGACTATGATGAGGGATAACTTCTGGGTTCAATTTGACAATCTATCGGAAGGCATGCATAGTTTTGTGCGTCAGCGGTTGATAGAGGAATATCCAAACAATCCCATTATTGAGTGGCTCTCGGCGAATCCTGACTTTCTAGCACCCAACCATGATTCCAGGGTAGTCTGTTTGGAGGTCAAGTCGGGTGCTCCACCAAAATTTCTGGAGGTATGGATCTTCCGAAGGAGGACAGAGCGAATCACAGTTTTTATTTCAACAAAAGCTAATCCGTTCTGTTTCAAATGCAGGGGGAGGGGGCATCTTGGAATGCATTGCCCGCAAAATGGGTCAGGGCCGGGTGGTAAGCAACCGCAACTGAGACAGTCCATGTTGGTGGAATCAGATAATAAACCGAGGGTGTGGTACATCAATGCATCACAATATAGAGGATGGATATTTGACGACAACCTCGATGTTCCACGTTGGGTGTGGGTCCTAAGCACTGCACCGACGGTGAAGCCAGACATCTACCCTCCATACGACAACAGATGGCGTCAAAAAGGAGCAAAACGAATGGAAGACAAATGTGGGCTTCATTACCAAGCCTATGATAGATGATACTACTTTGTTGGATGACAAGCAGAGACTGCAGACTATGGCAGAACTGCATAAGCTGGGTCAAGCAGCTGAGTTGGCCTTTTTGGAAAATAAAAGAGCTAGGGACGAAGGACGGACCTCTGTTACGAGGGGGGGAGAAGAAGGATAAGACGAGGGAGGGGAGAAAGGAAGTAAGGCGATCTCTAACAGCAAGGAGGTTTCAGAGAGGGAAGGAAAGGGGGGGGACTCGACAAGCTCTCTCAAAAGGAAGGTGAGTGACAGAGAATCGGACAAGGCAAATGGATTGAGTCAAGGATCTAAGAGAACACATGCAGAGAAGGAGGAAGGGGAGGACTCCTCACAGACTGGACAGGGGGGGGAAACGGGCATGGGGGAAGAGGGTCAGGCAGACATGGAGGAGGAGGGACAAGGGGACAACATATCTAAGGGGGAGGAAATAGACATGAATCCTGCATAATCAAATACGTCATCTTCATCATCATCAGACCAACAATCGGGCAAGAATGGTTCAGCAGGAGGCACCAGCTCGGCAACGAGTTCGCCAATGGACAGAACTGGAAAAACAGTACAGGAATCGGCCGGGGGAGGGGAGGAGGACACAGACAAAATGTCACAGGATGCAGATCCGGACGCTGGCGGACAGGATGGCAGTGAGGATGAGGATTGGGGAGAGGAGGAGGATGAAGTGGAGGAGGAGGAGGAGGAACCAGAAACATTAGCACAGTGGATTAGGACGATTCATAAGCTGCAGTGGGAGAGGCATATAGAATGTGAAATCCGTCTGGCGCATCACAAACATTTGTGCAATCTGAAGAAAGCCACAGCGGAGGGAGATGATATCACAATAGCAAACCGTTTTGAATTGCTGAAGAAGGAGCAAGAGGTGAATGAGTTTTATGCAACGCAGTATGCGTGGAAGGCCAGACCAGACAACAATGACATTGTAGTACATAGCTTGGGGTATGCCAAACAGTTCATATGGCCAAAATCTTATCATCCACAGGGGCTGAAGAGATCAGAGCAGAAACGCAAAGCAAGGCAAGAAGCAGCGGAGGGGTCAAGCAGCAGCAACCAAGAATCGGTGGATTCAGACCAAGGAACGACAGAGGAAGAATAGATGGAGGAGGAAAAGAGACAGGCAGCTATTTTGGAGGCGCAAATCAACGTTCTTAAGGATCAGAATCGGGAATTGGAGGAAGATACCATCAATCTGCAGAAGATTGCCTATGCACCACACACAGACATCAATGCAGCGGCCAAGCTTTATGCGAGGCATAATCCGGGAAGGAGAATTATCCTCCGTTACTGTTGGAATAGTGGCAATTCAGACTGGGAAGTGGCTATCCAAAGGTCTCTAGCTTTGGTCACAGCAAAAGATAGTTGTTGTTCGCAAGATATCCTCAGAGAAATAATATCGAAGGATCTCCCCACACAGGCACATGTAGTAGGGGTCCTTGAGCAGGGCCGGGAAGAATGGAGGGAGTCGGGGGGTAGTATGCATATGGTAGACTACAGGCCCATCATGATGAAACTGCAGGAGAAGGCAAGATTGGTGGAAGGCTTGATCTGGATGCCTTGGCAGGTGGTGGAGACGATACCATATGGCTTTCTAGGGGGATCAAAGGCGTCAGAATGGGTGGCAAGAGGGGCGGCCATAGTTACCAAAAGTGATGTGTTTTCGTGGCAGCCGGATTACATAGACAGCAAGATTGCACCATTTGCCACGACGATAGATTTGTCCCAGGCAGGATCGTGAGGGCACAATTACTCAGGAGGTTGTCATAGGGGACATAGCTTATGGAGGGGACACTGGGAGAGGAGATAGGGAGGAGGAGAAGGACAATAGGTATTTCAAGAGGTAGACAACCAGATCTCAGAGTGATGTTTTGGAACATCAATGGGATGGTACAAATATTAGAAAAAAGGGATAAAAATGGGACAACGTTATGAAGTACTCTGATTGGTATGGGAGGGATCCACCGGATTTGCTATGCATACAAGAAACTCATCTAACGGATTCTCCGACTCATCAGCAAATTCAGCGACACATACTGAAGCAGTTGAGATGGGTTAAAACAAGCTTCTGGGCACCAGCGCCCAGACCACATTCATCAGGAGTGGTTATACTACAGAATAAAAGGTCTATGGCGGCAAACAAAATAATACTGCAAGATGTGAGAGTGGATGAGGGAGAAGGTCGTTGGATAAAATTAAATTTCACATATCAGGACGAACAGTTTGCATTATTCACAGTCTACTGTCCCAACTCCTGGCAACCGAGGTCGGATATGATTAACCTTCTACAGACCCACATAGATTCGTCAAGACATCTCATTTTAGTTGGGGATTGGAACACTACTCTAGAACCAAGTAAGAATAGATTGTTGGGGGGGAGGTCAGGATTGGGAGAGGGAGTTATGTGGGATGAGGCCCTACCTATCCACAATCTTATGGCATCCAGAGACCTTATTGATCCATTTAGATTACAACAACCAGAGCAAAAGCAGTTTACCTTTTATAAACGGAATCGTAGTCAGTACATGTCGGCATCTACGATTGATTACTTTCTCATGTCTTAGGATATGATAGGAGTTGTGCATTCAGTAGGGATAGGAGACCTGCCATATTGCAGTTGTCTGGATCATAAGCCGATCTTTCTCAATTTGGCCATGGATTAGCATATCCATAGGGGCAGGAGTTATTATAAGGTTAATAATTCATTATTAAAAACTCAGGAATTGAGAGATGTTGTAGTACACGTATGCCTAACACATAATTCTGAAACACAAACGTTCCAAGATCTAATAGAAGCTCTGACAGGAGCAACATCAGCGGTAACCAGGCAATTAACAGCCAGGAGAGCGACAAGAGAAATCGAAGTACAAACGGCATTACGTATAGCAGAAAGGAATCTAATCAATAACCCAGGGATAGAGATGTATGAGAAAATAATAGACTCAGCAAGAAGGGATTTGGGAGATTGGGAGCGTTGGAGGGCGAAGGGGTTGCAGATGAGAGTGCGAGTGAAGGATTGGGAGGAGGGAGAAAGAATGACGAAGTAATTCTTCCAAAAGATTAAAACAAGGGGAAGAAACACATTAATAGAACAGATGGAGGGTCTGCAGGGGTTGGTATCAGATCCAGAGGGGATGCTGTCAGTGGCCTATAACTTTTACAATGCATTGTAGACTTCAAGGGAAGGGGAACATGAGCCGCACCATTTAATAGAAGTCGGAAGCAAATTTTCGGCATTCCTGGAGTGTACAATAAAGGGAGAACAAGTTCAAATGTTGGATGCTCCATTATCCCAGGAAGAGTTGAGGGAAGCCCTGCAGTCTGTGCCTCCTAACAAGACTCCAGGTAAAGACGGTGTCGAGCGCATAGGCTCCCGCCTTTTTCGCAAAGCGCGGGAGCCCTCCCGACCACGTCGCGCAGGAATTACTCAATAAAACAAAACATGGAGACAACTTGGGGCCTTATCAAAACTTGGACCCAGGTCTAGCCCCTGGAAGCCTTCAATTCAGAGGAACTTTTTCAGAATGATCCCAACATCATCCCACTGGCGGCCACTCAAAACATCATTTAGTCTCTCAGATTGGTACCGAAAAAGCTTCCGGCTAGCCTTCAAAACCCCAATTGGTTGACACATCCATTTATCTAAAAAAGTCAGGTTTAACCCCCTGACGGGTCTTTCAAAACAATTAACCTCCTGGGCGGCCCAGACAAAATCTGAACCAACCATTCATGAGAGAAACCATTCGTCCCAAGTTCCCCGACCAAGTTATGATCCTCATTCCAATTCACATAAGTTATCATGCCCGTTACTTCTGAACCCCTTGTGAATGCGTCGAGGAGTGGTGTAATCCGTATGAGGATAACATCTCGACATCAAGCCCCGCTTTAGATTCGAGCCTCACCACATTCCCTCTGATTCCAGTGTTTTCGACCCAATTAGTCCTCTGCATATAGAATAGAGCTGCCCCACCCCACACGGCCAGGGTTGACTAGGCCCCTGATCATGGAGGTACGGTGACCATGTCTGGCACGAGGTTAGACAGTCATTCCTCCCCTTATGACAAACAGTAGTCGCCTGCCCTTACATGCAACATTCTAACAGGATCTCAACACCTTCCTCCCTTTCAGTGATAGTGTAGTCTCCCTTCCTTAAACCACTCAGGATTTGGAAGACAACATCCTACTATGGACCAGGAGCATAGCTCCGACATGGGTCTCACTACCATCTACGGAGCTCACAAATCCATCAAAAATTTATCGTGACATAATAACGCCTTCAAAACTTTACTTTAAAAATATTCAACAACAACAATACGAAACGCTTTCACATGAGATTTCATAATGACCCAAGCTAAATAATCTTATACAGTAGTTCAGACGCCTTCAATCATAGAAGTGCATCACTAAAACGAATAATTTCGAAATGAATGGGAGTCTGAATAAACGGATCGATCGAAATGTATACAATTCCAATATCATAAGCATGACTAAATAAATATGCAAAATAATATCAAGAAGAAGTCAACGTTTAGTTGACAATTTTTCAAAATAGTTCCAACCAATAACAATTTACGCAAGAATTATAACTAAAACAATACCTCAAGGTTCGTGATAAACGATATGATTAAAAATATGACACATGAAAGTCGAAACTCTCAACATAATAACTCGAATATCAAAACAATAACAAAATATGACACAATTAATATCAATATATTATAAATTTAAACCCAACTAGAACGCTCAAAAGTAATCTCCAGAATGAAATCCATAAATAATTTATCGAGATAAAATGATAATAAAATCGGGCGATGAAGATAACATAATTAGAATACGATCAATTTATCCACTATAAAATAAAATACCCGAGTGTCGTTTTGCTAGGGACAATGGTAGTTTGTCGTTATTCCCCGGCAACTGCGCCACCTGTCGAGCGCATCAGCTCCCGCCTTTTTCGCAAAGCGCGGGAGCCCTCCCGGCCATGTCACGCAGGAGTTACTCAATAAAACAAAACACAGAGACAACTTGGGGATGACGCATAAATAATCTCGCGAGCTGCCGATACGGCTGCGGTCGCGTCGTCCCGTCACCGAGACGATCGTGTCGTCCGTCACCGAGACGGTCGCAGTCGCGTCGTCCCGTCGTCCCTTCGACGCTCTAGCCGGGTGCGCCAGCTGTACATCCCACGGTCCCCTACGACAGGATAGGTTCCCGCGGGGCATAAGCTTTCCCTCCCTAAGGGGCTGTCACCACCTTTAGGGGTGTATCCCTACTGAGCTACTGACCCACATGCGAAAGCTTTTACATGCAATTGCAGAGGTAGGTCAGCCGAGGGCGTTTGCTCGTTCGCTGTAGTATAGATACGCTTGGTTAACGCCAAGCGAACCCGAACGTCGTCTGTTCCTAGGGCGCTGATCTCCTAGGTGCGGACCGGACGCCGGTCGACTAGGATGATCTCAACCAAGCGTGAAATTCACAACTCGATCCTAGTCCCTTTAACACACAATCAAAAAAAAGTTGTAACAACCATACATAGTTACATCGGAAGGAGTCGATCGTAGTCGATAGGACACACATTTAATCCAAAGAAACAACTAGGAGCATCCGAATCATTATTGATACATTCAACAACACAAGATCAAAAACAATCCGACCGCCTCAGGTCAAATATCACAAGACAATCATACAACCGCCAACAAGGAGTTGGCTATCGACAATAATATAGATGCAGTCGACAAGGTAGTCGGTTGCCTTAGTCATGACTTGATGAGACACGTTGCCAAAGTCATTTATTTCAGCCTATAGCCGACCTAAGATTAAGCACGCACACCTGTCTCCACACATTCTTAATATTATTGAATAACAGGCTGCTTTGCGGATGATTCTTGATCAGGGGCATTGCTTGAAGTGTTGCATGCTTCTCCCTCTAGGAAGTGGTCTAGGGTACTCCTTCTCGTCCGAGCACAAGACTCGGATCTCAGAAGTCGGACCGTCTCCACTAAATCGGCAAATAGCCCCCCGTAGAACGATCCACTCTGGGTCGATAACAGGGTCGGCTCCTGAAGCAACATACCCCCGCCCCAGATGCTTCCTAGAGATAGAAGATGTGTCCATTACAAGTAACTTTCAATTATTCTCATATCATAAGTCTTGGGTAACTTGG